GTGGTGGTGGGGTGCTGATGGTGAGGATTGCAGCTCCATTTTATTTGTTATCCAGGGAGGACCAACAATTTGGGGATTTAAGGCATGACACGATTACATAATTGCCTGGCCCTCACCACCGAGGGTATGTTTCGACTGATAAATTACACATTTGAAATGGGCAGATAGGAGAGGGCTGGACCGGGATTGTTAGCACGGCTGCAGTTCAATTGGGTAGACCCACCTGCGGTGGGCAGAGCCCTACGCTTGGAACATGAAAGTTAGTTAGCATCTTTCTCTGACGGTCAACTCCAGGAAGAAATTGGGAGTAAGGGAGCTGCTTTATTTATTCCTTAATCTTCCCATTAGGAACAAATGCTCAGTCCCACTGTGAACATGGCTTGGGTCTGGCAGAAGAGCTAACGTCCCCTTTTAACCTGGGATGATAACAAGGAAGGAAATCTAAACCCAAGACAGGTTTCCTTTGTGCCCACAAAACCTTGCATCTGCAAACCCAGCTAGGACAACGGGTTCCCTCCCTTCCTACTCACCACCCTGTCAGGCAGCTGAGCCTTCCGTCCCCACTGCGGCAGCCCGGACTTTAAGGACAAGGAAATAAACACCTTAGAAGGATGGATCACCAATTCAAAACACAATTCCACCTTAAAAATGCATCCACCTTCCAAATCTCATTCTTCAGAGGAGGGAGTGTTGTTAATTTAGTTGGTCATAACTAAATAGTTTCTAATCTGGAGCAGGAGGCTGCTGGGAATATTGGACAGTTTAAAGGTTAATCACCATCGCCTGGTTACACAAGTGAGGCAGAACTAATTCCTCCAAAGGCAAATGGCTTGCAGTTTTATCAGCAGTGCAGATTAGAAGTGTTAATATACAGAACAGAATGGACGCTTAAGGGCCGGTTTTCCCCTTATCGGCAAACTTTGCAACAGAACTCAGCTCCTGCACAACCTCTGCACTTCTATAATAAGGCCCCTTATTTTGCCTCTCGAGCAGAACTATCAAACAATCCTGTCCAAACCACTGCCACCAAAATCAGGGTATTACAGACCACGGCTAATTGGAAGATCACTATAATGAAGGAAAAGATAAAATACTTTGGCTGTTGGCCTAAAATGTGGATCAACACAACATAGGAAGCTATCTTGCTATGTCACATTCGGAGAGATTTACATAAACAATAAACTCAATCCAACTGCCCCCCCCAAAATACATCTTTGTTTACCGCAAATGCAACCTAAAGCCAGACCAGTGGAGGCGAGAGAGGTTCTTTACATAGGCAATATGATTAGGCCAGCAGTTTTGCAACTGTGCAGGAGAGCAGGGACTGTGTATATTTCCTCTCTCACAATCAGCAGGGAGAAAATGGTTTTTAATGTTCTCCACGCTTCCTATATCATAGATATTTAAATATTTGGACCACTCAACTGCTAAAACGCTTGCACCAGCCACACGAATTGACTTCCACATTTCTGCTAGGGCTGCAGGCGCTTTTCTAGGGGAGGAGGGCATGGAGGGTGTGGAAGGGGAGGGTTAAAAGGCTGCCAGAGGCTGGTGCCCAAGTGACTCAGTGGGTATTCCTTTGGAGACGGAGGGGAGGAGGGCAGATGCAGTTATGAAAGAGTGATGTTTTAAGAGAGCAAAATTAGGGAAAACCAACCTAATCGAGCAGGGACTGAAATGTTTCTTTGGTAGGGAAATCTGCTGTTATACCATGACCAAACATTCCAAATACAAGAAGAAAAGAATACAAGCAGAAAAGACATTCTAGGGTGTACCCAAAGCAGGCCCATCCAGGTGATATATTCTGGGGTCAGATTTATTTCTTTTCCCCAGATATGCCGGGCAGCCTAGATGAGCCCATCTCCCAAGCATTGTTCAACAATTTTTCACTGCTGATTGCTGGAAAAGATGGCAGTACAGGAAAGAGAGGAGGCAATGACAGAAGCAGAGTCCCCAGGGCACCATGGGAGGTAGGGTGACCAATTCATCCTGGTTTCCTAGGACTTGCTTGTTTTTTGTTCTGAAAGTCCAACCGCCCAGGTGACCCCTCAGACCCAAGCAAACTGAGACCCTTGTCACCCTAGTGGAGGCTCAGCCTTAGAGACTGGGGCTCAGGGACAGGGCAGGCAGAGCTGATGATGCAGATGTGGGTGGGTTGGCTGATTGGTGACAGGTGAAAAGGTGGTTCCCTTTGCATGCTTCTATTATTTTCAGTGAAATAAAAAATATTAATGTATTATCTGAGAGTAGCGGGCAAGGAGAGAGGTGCAGGTTTGAGGACAGCAGACAAGGTGGGGAGTACTCTCCTGGAGGCGGGGGAGGGAGCAGACTAGGGAAGTGTGTTAGGACTTCCAGGCAGTGCTCAAGTCCACTGAGCCTCGTGGTAGACGTGGAAGGTGTGAGCAGCAGCGTGGCCGTGCACTTTTCTCTAGCCAGGTTCAAGGCACCACGTAAAAGGGGGATCACATTTATCCACAGCAGACAACTTTGGGTGGGGAAACTGAGGCCTCACAGATAAGTAAGTTTCAGGCAGTTCATGCTGAAGAGAGGAGCTGAAACAGCCTGGGGACCCGCCTTCCTACTTAGTGCTCTCTGTCTGCCAGGAATCGGCACTCAGGCCTCTCTGGCCCTGTGGCTGAAGATGTTCCCACGATCTTTGGGGACCCAGCCTGAGAGAGCTGGCAGGCCGTGCTCGGCAGCAGGGAGGGGGAGGGCCCACACGAGCAGGCAAGTGACAGAGAGGGAGTCCAAAGCATAGGAGTCCAACTGGCAAGGGCCAACCACAAGGCAGAAGGACCTCAGAAACTTCTCTCTATTGATAAGAACAGTGGTCTGCCAAGGAATTTAATCTCCTTGAAGCTTTCAAACCTATTATGGCATTTCGTTCTTCAAACTGGAGCAGAGACGGCGAGGTGGCAGCCTGCTCCTTCTCCGCTGCCCCCCCACAGCTTTCCTGGGAGCCGTTCTCCGAGCTCTAGCACAGGCGTGCCCATTTCTTATGTCTCTTCTCAAGGGAAAGGGCTCAGAGACTCCTAGGAACATCAGAAAAGAAAGCTTGGACAAGAGAATTTTATGCTGTACCACTGGGGATCACGTAGCCATGGTGGAAGAGAAGGGTTGCGGTCACTCATCCAACATTGATGGTGGTGTGCTGGGGGCTACGGAAAGTACAGGGACGAGCAAAAGTCCAGAGCCCACCACGCCCGAGGCAGGGGCAGCCGGGGATGGTTGTCTGGGTCTGTTGAGAACAGAGCAGGAGAGAGAGGCCGAGAGTCACTTTACCCGGGCCAGGTGAGTCATGGTCAAAAACCCAAGTAGCATCTCCTCATGTTCGCGTATATACACTGATGTCATGAGCCACTGGTGAACACAGACATCCATTTCAGTTATTCTCAACCTGAGGTTTCCAAAGAGGCCAGTGAAACTCTTAGTGATGGGTAATGGGGAAGTTATTTCAATATTTTAAGAGCCAGGTAGAATTTATATATTTAACCACCAGAAGCAGAGTAAATATCAAGTGTCTTTACTTTGGGCTGGACTAGAGCAACTCCACGTGGCACTTCTTGGTGGTCAGAAGCCTGGTCGGCAGTTCTGTGTCTCTAGTCACTATGTGAAAGTAGTTACTTAAAGTGTCATTTCTCTGATGGACAGTATCTTTTAAAATATAGGGGTCAGGGGGCAAACTAATAAAAAAAAGGGAAACAAAAAGTTTGGAAAGCAATGATCTGTGCATATGGCTTTCTGTGTGAGCTATTTATTGGACCCAACATTACAACTAGCAGTTTTAGTATCATGTTAATGAGGCAAATTATTCCTCAGCACTTTTATGGGAGTAAGTGCAATCGCACACAGGCATCTCTTTCTGTTTCTGGCTGGGACATCTCCCTGACCCCTCACTAACTCAACGTGGCCACCTGAGGCCTAAAACTTGGCTGCCCGTGTCATGAGCGGACATGTATGTGCCTCCACTGGAAATTCACAGTAACCTGTACTCACCTGTCTGCAAGGATGAACGCTTCCAGGCCCTCCCTGGTGTTTGCTGCTCTCTTCTCAGCTGCCAAACTTCCTGCAAGCTCAGCCTCTGACCATACCAAGTCTAAGCCATAGCAGATGAACTTGCTGAGAATCAGATGAAGTCCCCACCTGCTATTAGCGCAGCACAGACTCTCATAATGGGGCTTCCTTGGCTTCCTCCCTGCTTCTGTGGTTCTTTCAAGGTGTATTTACTGAGTGACTATTAGGAGCCAGGTACTGTGCCAGCCACAATAGCTATAAGAATTAGTAATTAATAATACTCTCTTCCCTAAAAGAGCTCTCATTGTTTGGGGGAGGAGCACATAGACAGAATTATCCCACCACTATGATAAGGATTCTAGAAAAAACTTGTGAGGGAGAACTTAAGTCTGTCTGTGTTTTCAGCCAAAGCTTCACCAAGGAGGTGGTGCTGGAGCCGAGCCTGGAACATGCGTAGATGTTCTGCAGGTGTCAGGGTATTTGGGGACAGGGCAAGTTGTAGAAAGCGTGTGGGGAGGGAAGGTTGGAAAGGTTACTCAGAGGAGCAACAGTAACGCACAGCAAGCCCAGCAGCATAGGAAAGCAACAGGCAGTTGCAGGTGTCCTGGATGTTCAGTTGGGCTATCTGGTGGGGTCTTATAGAGAAAATATATTTATTAGATAAACTTTTCAGGCATCAATTATCATGCTGTTGGCTGTGAGTTCAATGTTTTGTTTTGGTTTGGTTTATGAGACAGTCTCTTGCTCAGTCACCCAGGCTGGAGTACAGTGGCATGATCACAATTCACTGCAACCACAAACTCCTGGGCTCAAGTGATCCTCCTGCCTCAGCCTCCCGAGTAGCTGGGACTGCAGGCATGCACCACCACGCCCGGCTAATTTTTTCTATTTTATTTTAGAAATAAGATCTCACTGTGTTGCTCAGGCTGGTGTGAGTTCAATGTTAGTAAATCAACAATATATAAATTGGCATTAAATAAGGCATCTTTAAGCAGAAAAACACATACAACAAGGTTATATATTGACTGGTCAATGAAAATGTTGTGACCAGAGGCTTGCATGAACCTAACCCTGTAGTTCCCCTAGAAGCAATGGTTCAGTACTTGCTAATTCAGAGTTTAAGGGGACTTACAGAACATAACTACTGCAAATACCAAGAATAGGCTATAAATAGGGTAAGGTATTATTGGAGTTAGACAGAGGTCCCAGGCACATTGGGATTAGAGTTCCAGTCCTCCAAAGCTTGCAAGAAATGGTTTGGTAATAGTTGCCCATTTAAATAAAGACCCAAACTGTGTGGGGCCTTTGGAGATGCTTACAAAAATGTTCTTTACTGTTTTTTTAAAAGATGTTTTTCACCGGTAAGTCTTTAAAGGATAAGGCCTAAGACTTAGGCCCCCAGTTCTAGTTATAGGATCCACTGGGTGAATCCCTATCCAGTATTTGCAGGATTAGAACCTAGATTGACTTGGGGTCAGTTCCCTTTTCCCTTCCTGCCTGTTCTTGTCTCTCAGCCTAGGGACCCAGCTCCCTGCCAATTGCTCATCTGCCCAGACTGCCATGAGGAACCCACCCCTGATTTTGTTTAGCCCCTGCAGTGGGGCCAGTCCCTAAGGTGTCTGTTCCATTCACCAGGGCATGTCCAGTGGCAGACTCCAGCCTCTTAAGTTGCCCCATCAGCCGCAATGGCTAGGACCATAGTTTGAGTCAGCTCAACGACTGCAAGAAACAGAAAGAGATTGATTACTTAAAGCATATGGATGGAAGCATGGAAGTATGTTGCAGAAACAGAAATAAAGACAAGCCTCTCAAGCAATGAAGCTGGTAATGAAGAAGCCACAGGGAACCCAAAAGATTTCTCCCCCTGTTCCCCTCCTTCATGTCCCCGTGTCTGTCTGTCTTTCTGCATTCTTCTTTCCCTCTTTCATCCTCCTTTCCCCTTCTCCCCTCTTCACACTCCTCCCCATCCTTAGCCTTTACCTCCTGGTCTGCTTTATTCTCTTTGCAAACCATCTTGCTCTGCTTCCTCTGGCCACCTTCTCCCCTCCAATTTTGTCTTGCATGTGGCTTGGGGTTTCCCTGGCATGAACTCCAACTCCCTTTCTACAAGGGCTTTATCTCAAATGCCCACTGCCAAATACTCTTGGTGTGCATATGCAAGAGAGAATCTGATTGATCAAGCTCACTAACCTCTATAAGTTTCTCTGGAGACAGGTGCTCACCCCTGGTCCTATCAGCTGCAGCTGGAGGGGAGGGAAAGTAACAAGATGAGTCATGGCCTCCTAAACCTGCTCTTTCAGAGGGGCCATGAGCAGAACTTAGTTCCCAGAAAAGGGGACAGAACCCCAAAGTATGTTATCTGTAGTCATTGCATAACTAAGGCTATATTCTGAAATAAATGGAGGGTTCTGGAAACCCTCTGGTTGGTTATTAAGGATCTTTATTTAATCATCCACAATGCTTCATTGTCTAAAGAAGAGAGTGGGCAGGTCATCTATGAAATTTGACTTTGGGATTTAGTTCTGTGTCCTACGGACAAAATCTCAGCCCTCTGGCCAAACCCGTCCTTTCCTGTCTACTCTTCCCACCATCTTTCATCAGCTCTTCAGGAAGAGTGACAAAAGTGGCAACCAAGGACCATTGTCTCCTTAAGGGAGGCCTTGAGTGGGCTGAGGGCATCCCAGGAAGTGACTGCAGAGCTCCTGTTGCACAGGAGGGTCAAGCTAGGGAGATGGAGGGATAAGGCCCAGAGAGCCTACAGGCAGGAAGAAGACCTTCAGAGGGTGTCTCTGAGCCAGGCAGACGAATCTGGGAACAGCAGAGACTAGGGATGGTCTGGACCCAAGCTGGGGATGAATGAGCTTAAGTCTCAAGGCCAACCTTCAGTCCATCCTTTCCATCAGGTATGGCCTTGCTGGTGAGGGAGGAATCCTCTCCCCTCTCCTCCCATGTCTCTGCCTCTGTCTGTAGGGCGGACAGACCTCTCGGCCCTCTCCCCACTGGGGTGAGTGTTGGGGGAAATACGTGCTCACCTGCCCAGGTTCTCCCACCCCAGGAGGAGGGAAGGCTGCCAGAGCAGAATGGTCACTGTACCTAAAAGGTTCACGGCCACTTTGCCCCTTCCGTTTTCACGTCCTGCCTACAGTCTGCCTGGCCGTGTGGTGTGAGCCCAGCTGGTTTATCAGCGGAGCATTAGAGGCACAGACAGGTTTACCGTTTTGCCTGGCTCTTCTTCCTCTAGTAAACGCGCCTCCAATGGCCGTTTCCTGGCACTGTATTCTTAGGTTCTGGGGGGAGAACAGGCAGAGATTTAGGGAAAAGGAACAGCAGTTGTCACTTGGCCTGAAGCCTGGCACCCATGGCTGCACAGCGTCATTTGAACGGGCTTACTTATTAACCAACCCATCAGTGGGTGTCGAGGGGTTTTCCATTGTTCTGATCCTGTTACGAGCAACAGTGTCATAAGCACCCTTGTAGTGCGGTTTTGAACCCTCTCTGACTATTGCCTACAAATACGTGCCTAGGAATGCAGTTGCTGGGGCAAAGCATATATCCTTACTTAAGGCTTTTGTTGTATATTATCAAATTAACCCAATTCACACTTCTGCAGCAGGGTAAGCAGGCCTGTTTTCCCAGACCCATGGCCATGTTTCCTCTCTGTTCCCATGTCAGAAGGGTGAAGAATCACACGTGTGTGAGAGGAGGTGGGAGTGGACGGGGGGGGGGGAGGAGGAGGAGGAGGAGGAGGGGGGGGGGATCGGTATCCCCAGCAAGTCATGGCTGTCCCCCGGGCCAAGTCTCCTTTGTAAAAGAATCAGGTGGGTACAATGACAAGTGAGTCCTCCAGCAACATGGGCCAATGACCTGGGCCTCCCCTAGAGGCCTGGCCCTGCCCTGAGGGTTTGGGCGTCTAACAATTGTCCCACCCAGGGTGCACCCTTTTTCTCTCCCTGTCTCCTCTGGCCAAAGTCCCCATTGCCCTCTGGGTAAGTCAGGGCTGGCTAGCCTTGGCAGGAAGCTGTGGGAAGGAGAGAGTTACTAACACACCAATCTCACAGCTTCCCTAGCATACTGAGTGGCTCCTGCCTTGGGTCCTAGCTGGCTCCATGGCAGGTTTATTGGAAGTTTGGAGATCCCCTTGTCAGTAAGTTTAGGAAAAAAATCTGTTCAATCACCCAGCAAAGCCCCAGAGCTAATCAGAGACTGCAGAGCCCAGAGCAAACAGGACGAGGTAGAAAAGCAAATGCCTCGTCCCGTCTCGTTGATCTCCTTCTCCCTCTGTGCTGCTCTTTCTGATCTAGCGCCAAAAAAAAAAAAAAACAAAAAAACGGTGTCTCTGTCCAGCTTGTGACAGGGAGAGCTTTCCCGCCAATCTATAGACGTTGTCCACGCAGACTCGAGCCTCCATAGAGAAGGCTGTTGAATTTGTGGGAAATGGAGTTTCAATCAGCCTCACTACAGCCTCTGAGACCCTCCATCTGCTCCCATTTGGTTCCTCATTCACTGATCTCCCCCTCCACTTGCCTGATCCCATTATTTGTAGATGTAAGGTATTATTTTGCTCCTTTCTGCACCACTGACTATTCATTTGATCACAGGTGCTCCGGCACCTTGTACCAGGAGATGCGAAGGGGCCAATGTGGAACCTTCTCCTCCACCACCTGGGTCTTGCCCGACTCTTGGGGACACAGGGATGAAGCTGCAGAAAGAGAAACAACAGTGAGGGGGTATACGGTCTCCCCAGGGTAAGGAAGCATTTTGTTTTCTGCTTCTTTTTTTTCATGACAGGGAAGTTTTCAAGCTTCTCCCAGCTGCATCTTCGGAAAGTGGTGTAACCATAAGTGACATTTCTGGGTGTCTGTTCTTCTGCAGGACAGCGCAGGGGCAGGTCCGCAGCTAGGCACTGCCTTGTCTTCAGAACAGGTAGCAGACACTTCACTTAGGACATGACAACCGAGAACTTTTCCAGAAAACCGAGTACTGCAGTGAAAAGAATACTGGCCTTGGATGCAGAAAGCAGGAGCGTGAGTAGGGGCCGTGTGAGTTTGGATGGTTCACTTCATCTCTGCTCTCGATTTCAGTATCTATAAAGTAAAGGCCTTCACGGACCAAATTTCAATGGTGGGGCAGGCTCCGGGGAGTGGTCTGTTTAGGAGGCTCTGCCAGTTCCCAACAGCCCTGAGTTCTTGCCCTGGAGAAGTCTTGTGCCCCGGGGGTTTGCGTGGCCACCTTCCTTCAGGCTGCCAGCTCCTTTGGGGCAGGGCCTCTGACTTTTTCTCCCTCATGTCTCTAGCATTTAGCACAGTGCCTGGCACTTGATAGGGTTTTTAATTCATGAAAACTCTAGGATGCAGACCACGGCTACAGAAAAACTAAAATGGAGGGAAGCAACAAAGTTAAAAGAAACTTTTGGAATCTTAGAGGGATAGAGGGTTATTTCTAGTGTTCACCAGAACAGCAGTTCTCAAAGTGTGGTTCAGAGACCCATGGGGGTCTCTGAGACCCTTTCAGGGAGTCCCCAGGTCAAAATTATTTTCATAATAATACTAAGATATTATTTGCCTTTCTCACTTTCATTGTCTCAGGAGCACACATTGGCATCTTCCAGAAGCTACACAACATGTGATATCACAGAAGACTGACTGCAGAAGCAGATACAGGAATCCAGTTGTCTTCTATGAAGCTAGACACCAAAGATGTTTGCAAAATGCAAAACAATGCCACTCTTTCTACTTTTTTTTTTCTTTTTTGCTGCAGAAAACATCATCACTTTTCATAAAGGTATGCTATTTATGCTAACATGTAATGGGCTCATTTTTAACATAAATAAATTAGTATTTTGAACATTTCTCAGCTTTGATTTCTAATACAGTCAATATCGACAGATAGCACCCATATAACCAAAGTTCTTTGAGGTCCTCAATAATTGAGGTGAACGAGTGAAACGAGTGAAAAGGTGTTCTGAAACCTAAAAGTTTGAGAACCTTTGCACAGGAACATGCTTAGCACTTGCTTGTTGGGGTGTCAGAGCCCCTTCCCCTCCCAGTTTCCATCTCTCTTTTATGCCTGGAGCCCGTGTTCATAAATTTTGGGGTTACTCTTAGCTCCAGATAATCCATAAAGTTGTGGCTCCCAGTGGCCCTCAGCGCCACCATGCTCACACGGGCAAAGCAGCATGTTCGGAAGGGGGTTAGCGCGGCTCCCTGGGCGCTGGCCAGCGGGCGGGCCTTTGCCGTCTCTGCTTCGCAGAAGCCCAGGAGTCTCTCTTATCATCTCAGAAATTACTTTTCTCATCCCACACAACTTGACCAATCCAACAGCCAGTCCTTCTCAGTGCCCAGACCCATTTCCAAAGCAAGAGCTGAAAGAAGGTAACCCCCCCCCCCCCCGGGAAAAGGGGATGCCCGCCCCAGAGGCCAGCCGCTGAGCTGAAAGTCACCCCACCCCACTTTCGCTCAATGAGGCACAGCCCAGAACCCCGGAAACTATCTGTCACGAGCAACTGTCTGGAGGCCCCGACTGAAGCTCAGTGTGTGTGAGCTGGTGTTGCCACAAAAAGGTGGAGCAACTCGCTGAACAGCCTCAAACCAATGAAAGCATTTCAAGGACTGGAGGGTCAAGCCACAGAGGAATTGAAGTTTGGAGGACAGAAAGCAGGAAGAAGGACTTCATGGCAGAAGTGCTACCACCACCCAAATAAATAAGGATAGTAACCAACATTTGCGATTAGCACAGCCCATAATGACCTAATGAAGCGAGTACACTATTATCTCTCCTTTTGCAGACAAGGAAGCTGAAGCTTAGCACGTTGAAGTACTTTGCCACCGAGAAAGTGGTAGGGCTGGGTTCCGGTTCCAGAACCTTCTCGCTCTGCAGTACCACTATTTGGGGGATAAGTATTTCAGGAGAGGCCCACACAGGCGACTGGTTCTCTTGGCTAATTACCACCATAAGAAAGGGAAATGGAGCGACTCTCCTGAAGGCCACATGAACGGATTGTGAAACTTCAGCTCCCCACCTCACGGGGGTACAGCGGAGTTCATTTCCCAGGCAGTGCACCCAGGGGACACACCAGGAAGTGTGGCAGTCTGCGCAAACATTCTCCAATTCTTTCTTGGCAGACTAGGAGGGGGATTGGATATCTGGTTATACCTGCCTTAAACATTCTTCAGGCTAGACTGTTTGGCATACCTCTGGGAGTACACTGCCGGCGCCTGCTGAGTCTCCGCTGTTCGTGTGCTAGAGTCGACTGCAGAAGCTTCCTGAGGAAAACCCGGCAGAGCAGTGAGTCCCCCTGGGCTCCTCTTGAGAGAAGGTGGGATGGCAGTCCAGAGAGGCATGTCCCCAATCTCCTGAGCCTCCACAAGGGAACAGCCAAGCCTGCTCCCAGCACGACTGCCTTGTTATCTTACAAGGGGAAGACACTGGTGACACTCCCGGGTACCTGCTAGTCAGGTACCTGCCAGTCACCACTCCTTTGTATTTGTCACAGCCTCGGCCTAAGGGAGGGATATCTTGCATTTTTTTGCTTTAAGGATGCTCAGCCACTTTGCTTTTCCAGGGGCTTGGACACCCCCCGCTGGGCCAGGCCAGGTCAGCAGGGAGTGAAGGACCTGCCCTGCAGCAGTTGAGCTCCTCACAGCCCTGAAATAGGGATTGGGCATTGCTGGGGTGCCATTTAAATAAACTGGTCATTGGTCAGTGGCAACGCTGTCAAGGGGAGGCTGTTTATGACATTGCACAGGAGCAGGGCCAAAGGTGGTCCCCAGCTGAGTGCTGCAAACACGTTCAGGTGAAGGGCCACACAAATGCAGATTCACAAATAGCCCTGCCCTCCAGTGCACATGCGCTCTGAACTCCCAGCCCCTGCTCACACCCCTCCTGTGCTGATGTTCTGGAACTGCCACCGCTTCCAAGGTCCTTAGTAGCAGGAGAGCTGGGACCCCTCGAAGCCTGGATCTGCTCTCACCCTGAAGACACTCATGTTTTGACACCATGACTTATATAACTAACCTGCCCCTTCCTTCATAGTGGTTGTTAGAAAGCGCAGAGACAAATTGGTTGCATTAGAGCAAGTAAATACAACTTTGGGGTATTCATCCCAGACTTTTTCTATTTCTTTCCCTTCTTTTAAACTTGAGAGACTTCTAAAACTCTGAAACACACACAAAATTCTATACTTGAAACCTTCCATACAAAATTGACAAATGTTAATATTTTATTATATTTGCTTCAAGTCAATGAAATATTACACATCAAGTTGAATGCCCACTGTTCTCCTCTGGGACTATTTGCTAACACCCCCCAACCCTAGTGGCAACCACTGTTAAATTTGGTTTAAATCTTACTTTTTTAAATGCTAACAAATATTTCTACATACTTAACAAAAATTATTTGCATTGTATAGATCATAAGCTAGAATGATCCAGAGATAGCTTTGAGCTGGAGATGGTTAGAAATGGCTTCACAGAGCAGGTGTGAGAGAGAACATGGCCAAAGGCTTGAGCAATTCAAATCTTTTAACCCAGGAGGACTTCTTCACCAAAACTTACCCAATAAGGTACATATGAGGCACCATGAGGAAACAAGTCAGGCAAGGCACAAAGAGAATGGTGGCACCTAAGATGGTTGGGTGCAGGAAGTAGGGCTTGAAATCAGGACCAAGAGTTCAGAACTTATCCTGCAAGAAATAGGGAGCCAGTGAAGG